CCCCAAAACCCCAAAACCCCAAAACCCCAAAAGATAATAATAATAGTGATAAACTGGAATAGAATTATTTAATAGAAATAAAATATCTTTTGATTTTTCTATTTTTATTATCATGATTCTCTTTCTAAATATTCTTCAATACTTTCACCTTTATAAACATTATCTAGAAAATAACCCTCCTATATATTTCCATCTTTTTTAATATTAATTCCATATCCATTTTTATTATCATTTCTCCAATTCCCCTTATACACCTCTCGATCAGTCTTTTCAAATACTCCAACACCAGATCTCTTACCTTCTTTATTCTCTCCCGTATATTTTGACCCTAGAGGATAGATATATATACCCCATCCCTCTCTTTTTCCTCTGACCCAATTTCCTTCATACTTTGAGCCATCTTTGAATAAGTAAACTCCCTTGCCCTATCTAAATCCTCCTTCACATTCTCCCATATATACTCCATTTCCATACATGAAGCAACCAATTCCCTTTTGTTTATTATCTACCCAATTTCCATGATACGTTATACCAGATTTATAAACAAGTCTTCCATCTCCATGTCTTTTATTTTCTCTATATTGACCAATAAAACAATCTCCGTTTGTAAAATGATATACTCCTTGACCTTCTATAAGGCCGTCTTTCCATTCACCTTCATATTTATCTCCAGTTTTGTAATAAAAAGTGCCTAGACCATTCCTCTTGCTTTCATAGAAATTTCCAACATATACCTCGTTATTATTATATTAATACACTCCAAAGCCAGTTCTATGATTGTTAGCCCATTTTCCTTCGTAACTATCACCATTACTGAAAGTATACTTTCCATATCCATGCCTGTTCCCATTTCTAAAAGTTCCAAAATACTACCCTTATTCACCATATGTTTTATTCTCTGGATTAATAGAGTCTAATTCCTCATCAAAGTGATTAGACAAAATATTTCCCTTATGCTCCCCTTATGCCTATTCTTCTTTTTAGATGAATTGAATCACATCTTTTATTACTTTTGTTTGCTATTCATATATCTGAGTCAATATAGTATGAGGGTTTGATTAATCCATTTATTCGATAGTTAACAGGTAGTTCAGAATATTGGGAACTCCTTTAGGATAGCCAATATTGCTTGTCCAGTTATAACTTAAAAACTCAGACTTTTCCATTTCATTCATCTAGTAATTGGGCTTGAATTTTTAAATAGGTAAGGCTGATAGATCAAGACTGTCAGGTTGATAAATCCATTAAACTCTTGGAAGTATTCTATTCCTTAAAGAGCTTATAGTAAATTATACCTGATCTTCACTATCAGCCATATTTAATTCTTTTACTTGTTGAGACACTTCAGATTCTTCAAGAAACTCAGTTTAATCAGAGTCTTCCTATTAAGTTAAATTAAAATCCAAATGATGGATGCTCTATCTTGTTTCATTGGGATTAATGCTATTATTCTAATCATTATACTGCTAATTTTATTCCATTGATTAAATTGTCTGAAAATTTGTTTTGTCTGAATTCTAAGTTTTCTCCATTGATATCGTATAAATGATTAATTATTAATTAAATTTGCCTAATTTATTTCTCATAAAGTTTGAATTTTATTTCTAGGGGTTTTGGGGTTTTGGGGTTTTGGGG